CTTCAAATCGATCATCTCGACATCAAGATGCGTGGATATGAAAAAAAATTTCAAGTTTTGGAAATAGTGTATTTTGTAACATATCAATTATCAAGATTTTCAAGTTTTCATAAATTTGTCGATTTATATTATTTTTTAAGCTTTTAAATTTATAAATAAATATAAAATTATATTTTAATAGTATCACAAAGATTTTTAATATTAAAACCACATTTCTCTATACTATTTGAAGGTAGGCTCTAATTTGATTGTTTGTAGGCTAGGCTCAATGCACCCTTAACTAATTCAAAATTAAAAAAAGAAAAAGAAAAAAATACCTATACGTGGCTATTAAGTTAAAAAACATGCGTCCCCAATATGTCGTCAGCCCGGATAAGTGATGCATGATCCCGCGGTATCATATTTACACGCTGTTCTCTATCACAATTCTCGTGTATCACGGGTAACGGCAGGTCAGCGTTGCGTGACGTGGCCCATCCACGTGTGGTAATAGTAGAGAGAGAGAGGGAGAGAGCTCATTTCATTTGCCCTTCCTCACGAGCTTTCCTCTTTGCCCCTCTCTCTCTCTCTCCATCTTTCTTTCCTCTCATTACTCTTTCTCTCTCCTGCCTTTAGTTTATCCAGTGATTTAAAAAATGATTGGTGACCAAGAACGGGCACCTAAAAAATTGGTGTCAATTGGTGAATCAGCAGTTCAGTTCCCTCTTTCATCTCTTTAGTTTATCTCTGTAATTTAAAAAAAATAACCAAAAACTACTTTGAATTGGTGAATCGACATTCTAGATTGTTGTTTTATAATGTGGAAAAAAATAGTAAACTGACAAAAAAAACACGGAAAAAATAATAAACTAGTAAAAAAATGGGTCCACATTGATGAATTGGCTATGTAAATCGTCTTTTTTTTGTTATAAAGAAATGTCATTTTACAGTGTACAACCACTTATTTCTTTATTGACTCGATCATTTTTTTATATATACATAAAATCGAGATAGAGTGATTGATTTCTAAATCGGATCGGGTCATTGTATTTTTTAAATGTTTATTTCCATACCTCCCCCTCTCTCTCTCGTCCTTAGGCTTTTGCCTCTTAATGTTCCGCCCCCTCTCTCTCTCTCAACCAGTGTCCGAAAAACCAGTCGGTCGGAACCGGAACTGGCTTATTAGCTCGCTACCTGTGGGATGGCGATTCTGGTTAGGTCCGGTTTTAGTGTATTAGTAAAAAAAACACAGCGTCCTGAAAAAAATCGGCTAAAAAACCGGCCGGTTTGGCCTTGAACAGGCGAAATTTTGACAAAACCGACCAGTTATGTGAAAATCAATCTGGTCTGATGTTATATCAGGCGATATAACGAAATAACAGCACACAACAAATAACGATCGTTATTTGTAATATTGCCCGTTATTTGAAAAGAACCCGTCATCCGCCATTTTTTTACAGCTTTTTTATGCTTTTTTTTGTCGTTTTTTTGTTTTTTTTGGCTCAATAATTGTACTATACCTTTAAATCTTCTATAAATCTATCAATATTGAATCAAAAACTCCAAGATTAGATCGATTTTGGCAATTTTTTGTACGTTATTTGGTGTTCTTTAGTTTTTTATGAAAAATCCACCATTCTTTTGATTTTGGCCTGGTTTTTCAGTTTTTTTCGATAAAAAGTTGGGGATTTTAATGATCACAGAGATACATATACTTCAAGACTCCTAATTTCATTGAAATGGAGAGATTTGGGGCTCGATTTTGATATTGAAGTCGACAAGGTAAGCGTGAACCCAAATTTTTTTTTTTTTTAATTTTGCAGCTTTTTTAGGATTTTTCAAACAATATTTGACTAGTATTATTTATTGCAATAAATAAAAGAAATATTTTTTAACAACAAAAATAAAATTTGGAGCTCGATTTTCGGAATTTAGTTTTGGAGCTCGATTTTAGGAATTCAGGGTTTTTTGTTTTTAATGTTATATAATATATATATATTTATAAAAATATGTTTTTTGTGATGATATGAGAATATATATACAAAATATTTGTGTGAGATTATTGATTGCATAAAATAAATGAACGAATTTTAGAACAAAAACAAAAATTTGGAGGGCAATTTTGGGGATTTTAGGGTTTATTGAATGAAAAATAAAATTGAAAATTTTTTTGTAAGGATTGTTTTTAATGTTATATAATATATATATTTATAAAAATATATTTTTGTGATGAATATGAGAATATATATAAACAATATTTATGTGAGATTATTGATTGCATAAAACAAATGAACGAATGTTAGAACAAAAACAAAAATTTGGAGGTCGATTTTGGGGATTTTAGGGTTCATTGAATGAAAAATAAAATTGATATTTTTATGTGAGGATTTTTTTTAATGTTATATAATATATATTTATAAAAATATGTTTTTTGTGATGAATATGAGAATATATATATATATATATATGCAATAAAAAAAATTTTGTATTCCAAATATTCTTTAAATTTTTGGGAGACATTTTTTATGAATGATTTGATTTTGTGGAGTCATCTTGATTCAAAAAACACTCGGTATTCCAAGAATTCTTTAAGTATCGGACTACCTATTGGCTATACTTCATTATGCAATTGTGTCATAAAGCCTTCAGATTTTATATATTTACGTATGCAGCAATGTTATGAAAAATAGATGTATTTAGTTGTTCAACTTTGATTGTGTTTAAAGCCTATTTTTATAGAGGTTTCAGTTTTGGCAGTATATCTTATCAGATCTTTAGTTTTGGCGGCATATCTTAATTTATATAAAAAATTATTTCAAATTTTTTTATAAGATAAATATATGTAATATAATAGTATACATTTAATCTAAATTTTTCTATTTTTTTCAAATTTCTTAAATTTTTTTAAATATTTTTGTTTTTTTAAAAATAAAAAATTATTTGACCGATTAAAACTGTTAATCGTCGCGATTAGTCTGATTCAAGTTCAAACCACTCCCAACTTCAAAAACCCGTTAACCGTTTCGGTTCGATCATGCGAACATTGCTCTCTTGACCTCATATGCGGCTATGCGCTTTCCCATTTTTTTCCGCTCCTCCCTCTTTTCCCCCCGTACTTCGTACGCTTTCCCCACTCGTTATATTATACGCTTCCTGCGATTGACCGTTACGTCCCGACCTGAGCGGCGTGGCGTGGCGTGGCGTGGGTCCCACCCATTCATCGTTATTTCCCAAGACCCCTCCGCTTCCCTCCCCTCCCCTCCCCTCCCCTCCCCTCCTCTCCACACCAAAACTAAGCCACACATTCTCAAACTTTCTCACAAAGATAAATAAGGAAAATTCTTTGGTGAGCAGCCGATTCACTTGTAGATGTGTGAGCCCTCTTAAAAATCCATCTTAAATATGGGTTTTAGATCTAAAAGTTTGATATTTGTTAATCTAAGCTATCGTGGTTATTATGTATATAGTAAAATGGAAAAGTTTATACAGAGCCGAGGCTCTTAACAATCAAATTTGAGTCTATATCAAAAATTTCACTAAAAGACGTCGTTTTGTTGCTCAAATATCTTCAAATTGATCATCTCGACATCAAGAGGTATAGACATGAGAAATAAATGGATTTTAAGTTTTAAAAATAGTGCATTTTGTGACTTATTTTTAGACCGTCCATTTTCAAGATTTTCAAGTTTGCATAGATCTATCGATCTACATTGTTTTTTAAGCTTTAAACTTTATAAACATAAATAAAAAATATATTTTAAGGCTATCACCACGATTTTCAGTATTGAAACTACATTACCGCACCCATAGTAAAAATGCCTCTTTTTTTTTTTGACGTCCATCTCTAGCATGGATGTGTGATGGACGAATAGACATACCTGATTTGGTGAGTTGGCTGACTTACCAAATATGTGTCTAATAAATAATTCTATATAATTCATAATTCTATATGGATAGTATGAAGCCATACGATAAAAATAAAAAGATGCACCTCAAAATCCTACCAGAAAATATATGCCCAAGGATGCACCGCAAAATCCTACCAAAAAATATATGAGCAGACTTCACGATCCATATGATGCAATATAAGTCTAGTTATTCCTTTGATGAAATTTGAAACTAGATCTGATGAGCTATGAATATTTGACAATAGATGGCGTAGAAAACATCTTACAAGATGCGAATACTTTTACAGCTCTAATATTTCAATTCTTTAATCATAGAGATTTATATCAACGATTTCATTTCCCCACCCCCCCCCCCCCCCCCCCCTTTTTTTTTTTTACCCCCATAATAATTTTTTCCCCTTGAACTGATGCATTTCGACAATAATTTTTTTATTAATAAACAATAAAATTTAAAAAAAGTGAGATTAGATGTCAACCTTATATTATTGAAATAAGGTGCACGTCAAAACTATGTAAAAAATGCAGTTTGGATGTTGCAAAGCTTCGCGGTGATATAAAAAATCTGTTGTTGCTTCCAATTATGAAATTTAAAATTTTTGAAGTAGTGACAATCAAGCAAATCTATAAACGTTAAAAAATCTTGAAAATAAACAGTATAAATAATGTATTAGAAGATTAACTATTTTTAGCATTAAAAATTCTTTTTTTTTCCATGTCAATAAGTAATTGAGGTGGAGATGATTGACTTGAAGGTTTTCGAGCCTAAAAAACCCATGTGTAGTGTAGTGGGGTTTTTAGGTGCACCTTACTTGTAATTGAAACCTTATAAAAAAATTTCGAAATTTGGGTGAGGAGAAAAAGATAAATAAACGAAAACTTTGCGGTCTCTCTCTTCTCGTGATATTTTGTAATTGAATAGGGGAAGAAGCATCCCCCGTCACCCGAAAAGGACGCCACGGTCGACCGTTACAAGACTGCCACGTCGCCACATGGCCCACCCACACGCTCAGTATCCTCACTCCACGTGTCACAACCGTGTCGTGTTCCCCATACCCCTTGGGCCTTTAATAATAAAAAAAAATCCCATTAAAGAAGGAAGAAAAGAGGGGAAAACAATCCCCTCCCAAAACCGCTGGTTTATTTGAGGCGGTATAAAAGCAGTAAGTTGTAACCATTAGCTACAGAACCTGCAATGACTACTCCCATGGAGGAGAGTTTAGAGAGAGAGAGAGAGAGAGAAAGAGAAGAGAAGATGAGAGAGAAAGAGTGCAGTCTTTGCGGTGACATTGGCTTCTCGAAAGAACTTCTTCCATGCCGGAAATGCGGTTTCCGCTTCCAACACACGTATTTCTCTCTCTTGTTTCTCACTGTACAGAGAAAAATTTGCTTAAAATTGGTTTGTATGTAGAGAGAGAAAGTGGATCAAAGAGGGATGTTGTGTGTGTTGCAGGTATTGCAGCCGGCTGTACCCCAATATACAACCGGAGACGTGGCGGTGCGAGTGGTGCATCCACGAAGAAGAGAAACAGCAGCACAAAACGATTCACAAGACTAACATCGGCAACAACCCAAAAGTGTTTGAGTTCCTTATTGAGATTGCTCAGTCCTTGCCTTCTCAACAGCAGCGACAAGGAGTGGCAGCAGCGAAAGGGGGAGAGGAGAAGCCGCGGACGCCTCGCGGCGGCAGTAAAGGAGTGGATCAGCAGAGATCGTCGGCTTCGTTGAGGGGCCCTTCTTCCTCGAGGGGCTTTTCCCCATCCTCCGCCACCGGGCATCTGAGAAAGCAGCAGCAGCGGTGGAGAAAGCAGCTGAACTGCAACTCCTCGTCCTCATCGAAAGTCATAGGCCGAAGATACAAGCTCCTCGCCGATGTTCTCTGCTAGGATTATTCGCTCATGCGATCAATCACAGTCTTGTAAATGGAATTTCTCTTTTTGTCTGTTGTTTTTAAGATTTGGGCATTTGCTTTCTTTTGCCCTTTCTCCTTGTATGTAAATCCGGTGTAGGTTCCATGTAATTTCCCCATCAAACAAACGAGCAACGTTTTCTTTTGGATCTCGGAAAACACTGCATCTTCGTCCTCTTAATCTCTACATCGATCCGTGGATCAGTCTTTTGATTTTCTAGAGAGAGAAAGAAATGGTATCGACAAGCTTCCTGCTTTTCAAGAGAGAGAGAGATGAAATATTTCAGCAATCTCGAGAGAGAGATGATGCATATTTTAGCAAAATCGAAGTTCTAGGCCCCCCGTGCTATTGTTTATTGGTGCCCTCTTCTGTTCATTCAATATGAAACTCAAAACTTTTCATTTCATTTCATGGTTCCTACTTTTCTCGACCTTAATTTTCTTTTTTTTTTTTTTAAGTAAAAAGATAGGGAGTGCCTTTGTAAAGAGAGAGAGAAACCTGTTTGCAATATCTCTTTTTAGAGGAGAAGAAGACGAAACGCAAAGAGCGTTTCTTTCCTTTATTTTTGTTCTCTGATTTTCTCTCTCATAACTTGTTTTTAAGAGGTGGTAAAGAGAAGAAATTTGTTAAATAAAGCAGAACGCACTTAGTTTGTCCCTTTCACTTAAGATAAAAGCTAGAGAGAGAATAATGATGGTCTAGAACTCACCCCGTTCATGCATCCATCTTCTCTCTCTTCAATCCTTTTCGGCTTTTTTTTTTTTGAGAGAATTAAGATATTGGTTTTAAGAGAGAGAAAGAGGGGGTATTGGCTTCATTATTTCATAATAAGCAGAGGGTATAAGAGTTGAGAAGGAATTTCATGAGTAACCATTTTTCAATTCAATTTTCATGCTTATCTCATCTCTCTCTCTCTCTCTCTCTCTCTCTGGATGGATCCGTTACCACAACGTACTCGTGATATATTTTTGGGATAGGGCGTCCACCACCACGCAAGCGTAAACACGTTCTCTTTCTCTCTCTCTATTAGCTTCTTAGATAGTTGTCCCTCTCTTTTTTTTTTTTCGTTTTTCTTTCACAAACACCCCATGTCATCCTCTGCTGTTACATGATCCTCTGTATTGTTATATCATGCAGTGTCCTCTTCTCTGAGTTTTTCTCCATCTCTTTCCCTCTCCTAACTAAATCCCCCTCGTGTTTGTTTCCTGCTTATCTCATGCACACAGACATACGTCTCTTTGTCTTCCATTCGTTCATTAGTTTTAGTAGAGAGAGAGAGAGAGTTAAATAGTTTTACTCATTTCTCTCGTGTAGTATCTCTTATTTCTCCTCCTCCAATCTTTTTAGAGAGAGAGAGTTAAATAGTTTTACTCATTTCTCTCGTGTAGTATCTCTTATTTCTCCTCCTCCAATCTCTCTATTTGTCTCTCTTCTTCGTTAGATCTCTCACATGCGTTTACGTATCACTCTTCCTCACATGTCTCTGTGTGTGGCGTCTACTCCTGAATCTCACTCTTCCTCACATCTCACATGTGGTGTCTACTGCATCTCACACTTGCTCATACGTCTGTGTGTGGTGTAGGATTACTTATACGCCTCTCACTCTTCATTATCATCTTTCTTCTCTTAATTATCATCTTTCCTCTCATGCAGTTGCGTCAGTCTGCAGCTCTCTTTCTCTCTCTTGTTATCGATCAACACTCTCTCTCTAGGGCCAAGTTTTTTTTTTTATTTTGTCGAGCCACGTAAATTCTGTTACCGTGATCGAGGAAGTTTGCTGCGCCTTAAATCAATATCCTCTCTGAACAATGAGCGGCCAAATCAGTTTCTCTCTCTAAAAACAATGGGGAAGTAGGCTTGTCCATATTAGGTTTGACTGTTGGGATGGTGAGTTGTGCAGTGGAGGATAGGAATTGGCCTTGTACTCTGCTCCTCCTACTACTATCGTACTCTCTCTCTCTCTATCCTTTTGAGTCTTTTTACATTGCCCTGAATCTGCAGGACAGTACGATAAATCTATCAGCACCGCAGGATTTTGCTGTCCTCTCTCTTTTCCTCTCTAAATGATCAGTGACGCCAAATTGTCTCTCTCTTTCACCCATTTCATATTATTCTCTCTTTCTCTCTCTAGACTAACATTTGGCAGGTCGAGAAGGTGGAATGTCTCCGTTTTGGACAGTACGTGATGTGTCATGACTCCAACCTTCTGCCTGCGCCTTCCCCTTTCTGCACGGTGCAGTGTTCCCGTTTGGTTGTTGAATAAGGAACACTGAGACAGAGTAAAAATATCTTAGAGAGAGAGAGAGAGAAAGAGCAACGAATGGTAGAGAGAAAAAGGGAACCGTGGTTAATATGTAGAGAATTTGAGAGACGAAGAAACAAACAACTTCCACTGACCACTGCTACTGCTACTACTGCTACACCTAGTAGTGGACATCGATTTTCTCGCTCTAGTGTAGAGAGAGAGAGAGAGAGGGAATTTGTTCGAATTCAGACTTTAGAGAGAGAAAATGGGGTATATCGCCCCCACCAAAGCTAATAATGTTGGACTGACTTTTGGGCCGCTGCAAGCCCACCAGCTTTTTGTGACCACAGCGTCCGTATCATAGTAAAAAACGAAGTTACCCCCCATTTCCAGTAAAAAACGAAGTTACCCCCCCCCCCGCCATTTCCTTCCTTTTTAACACAGCATGGGACATTAGTATTTTACCACGCCCATCTCTCTCTCTCTCTCGTCTTTACTTAAATTCTTTATCCGCGAGAAGAATAAAGCGGTTGCTTCAAGAGACAGAAAAAAGTCATTTAGAGAGAGAGAATTGTAGTACGATTAGTTGAGTTGAGCGATTACCGGGATTGGGGCTGTGGGGTCGTCGTGGTAGACCCACACCCTCATCATCATCACTTTCTGGTTTTTATTTCCATACTCTCCATTTTAGCCACTACATTGTTTCTATTTTTTGTACCCCAATACGCTAGTTTAGTATGTCGTGGTTTTCATTCACACTAGTTTATTAATATTTAAAAATAAATAAAATAATTTTTAAAATATTAAAAAAAAAATGGAAAAATATACTATGAGACATTTTATCTATAATATAAAGTAGGCATAACTCGTATTTACTGTTATATGTGAAATTGGATGGTAACATTTATCTAATGTTCAAACTCAAACTTTAAACAAAAATTTTTCAAAGTTTATGATGCATCTAAGTTATCAGATTTCATATCGGATGATTGTAAGTAACGGTGACTTTTTGAATCAAAAGTAAATAGTCTCGTTATATACAATCCCAAAAGAATGTAGGGGAGTGTTTTCTTCACTGAATTATCGACAACATAAACCCAGCAATTACTATCTACCATTGGAGAGGTTGTGGTTTCTACAAAAGAAAGCTTTATATGCTTCTCTTACTGCATAAAACTTTGTGCTTCTCGTATCCAATTGTCCATTCTGAATGGATGGTTGAGATGACTTTGATCGCAATATTACTTACATTTCTACCATATTTTATTTTTAATTTTTTCTACAAACTATTTTTTACACCAAATTTTGGACGTCCACTTTTCTCCTAAAGTCACACTTGTGAAAAAATATATATAAAAAAATAATAATCTCAATAAAATAAAATAACCCAAACACCTTTAAAAGTTTCAAGAGGTATTTTGATCATTATATTTTATTTAAAAAATTATTTTTAATATTATTTTTAAGTGTGCTCTATTGAAATAATGACACATATCGAATTTTATATTCACATAATTTGCATAAAAAAATTAAAATAAAATATTCTAAGATGTCACATCTAGATCAAACAATCAACCGCTCAATTGATCTAAATATTGGACAGCTAGATGGGGAAGCATATATCTTCTTTGAAAGTATTGGACGGCTGGACGGGGGAGGCATATATCTTGTATGAAAGTATAGAAACCTTTCCCTTCAACAAAATTTCGGTCAAATATCTTGTATGAAAGTATAGAAACCTTTCCCTTCAACAAAATTTCCATCAAATAAAAGCAACAAGATGAAATAAATGAGAGAGTTGCGAGGGAAGATGTAATTTTTCTCTTGGTGGATTTTTTTAGAGAGAGAAAGAATGAGGGAGAATCAACATGGATCTGATACTATACTAGGTGCCCCACCAAAGATCGTCCATGTATTGTGAATACTTTGCGTCTGAGATTAGAGTAACAGATAGCGATTGATACCGGCTTGAAGGAGCAGAACTTGTACCCCACGCTTTTCTTATTTTTCCTTTCCCTTTGTCTTCTTGTATAGGAATGGAGAGTTAGAGAGAGAAAGAAGGCAGTATGTCGTTTTCTGTGGGTTAGAATTTAGAGAGAGAAAGAGAGAATAGTTTTGTAGTGGGCAACAGAGACCATGCCTCCCTTTCCTTTCCTCTCTGGGCCTCTTCCCCCTTTTTTCACTTTCACAGTTTCTCTCTCCTCCTCTCCTACCCATTTATATTTCATGCATCAAATTCTACCTACCATCAAAACAAACGCCAATGGGATCCCCATTTTCTCTCTCTCTCATCTTTTTCCTTTTTCAAAGATCCCCCCTTTTTTGCCTTCCCCCATTAAATGTAAAGGAATTCATAGGCTGCCTTGGTTTAAGGTCGGGGAAGTGGTATACCTCTTTCCTTTACATGAAGATGGGGTATGCAAGGGGTGACAATGGACCCCGATCTGACCTGATGGGTTCATTTTTTGGACCCATACCTAGACTCGGATTGGGTTTACTCCTCTGGGTTTGAGTCTAAAATCGGCACTCATATTATTTTTTCAGGTCCATGTCCTTGGCATGCAACAAATATTTCCACTTAAAATGCTCTCTCATGTGGCATTCTTAATTTTATCATCGAGAAGTCACTTGCTTGACTTTAAAACTGTATTTGAAAACTCCAAGGTACTCGGGCCTTGGCCAAGTCAAGTCACTCAGGCATGTCCCAAGTCTTGTACATGCCAAAAAAAATAACCTTAGAAAAAATGAATGCAACGAATAAAATAAAGGTAGTAAGAGTACAACAAAAACAAAAGTAAACTTAGAAGTCCACATAAGCTTTAAAAAGTATAGAAAAAACATATCTAAAAATTGTGATTTACAAATGGGGAGATCTCTTTTTTTTAAAAAAAAAACGGTATGGT